AGCTGGCTGTCACATCTGTGTCAACCCCATTGTACTAATTACAGGCTTGGTTTTGCAGACAGCATTATATCCTCTAAATGCTGCAGAATTGTAGTTTATTTGTAGAGCTATAAAAGCTGAAACTGCCGCAAAATATTTTATTGAGAAAGATTATACTGTTGCAAAAGGAACAGCGGGAAATGTACTGTGGAATAATATAGGCTGTAATTGTAGTTGCTGAAACCAGAACACCAAACATCCACCTCCTACCGGATAAAGAGGCACTTTGACTGCAATCTGCATGCTTAGAAAGTCTTTTTGAACACATACTTATGTACAGTTTGGACAAGCATGCTTTTACAAGTTTAAATAAGTGGCCATAATTCCTCAATTTGCCCTCACAACAAACATCCGGTATCAGGTAAATATAGGGATGCACAATATAAACCAAGGCATATGTTGGGAAATGTTGATGTATATTGCGATTATAATATCATAACCTCTAGATTATCATCTGATAATATGATGCTAAATTGCTTTAACGGACTAAACGAGAAAAACAAGATGAAAAAACATATTTTTGATCTAATCTAATCAGCCTTTTTAAACCTCAGGTGTGCATAAATTACAGGTTATGAACTTATTCTTAAAAAAAACTAAATGCTTACTCCTTACTACAACAAAGCCAACCAATGGCCCTTTGCTGCAATTCATCCACTCTCTCTTTTCTATCCAATAAAGGCAAAAGTGCAGAACAAAATTATGAAAAAAACAAATTAGTGAAATGATCTGTTATCTTATCTCAATCGGCCATGAGTAGAAGGTAACACCTGTTACTTGTGTACAGTTGGAAGAAATCAATATCAGTACGTGCATCTTTAGGAAAAATAACTGGCTTATACGTCAGTTTTGCATCAAACACTCATGAGAGTAATGACATTTGAGAGCATGTATTATTAGACAGATGATCATTAAGCTCTATTTTTAAGTTAAAGTGCTATAGTTTTTAGTTCTAACATCCAGTCCAATGCAGCAACAAATTGTAGTCTCATCTTGCGACACAGAATTCAAATTACATCCAACTAAGTGTTAACATAAACGGAACTTCCACAGCACAGCAGTATGTATTGAAGAGCAGTACACGATATCATCACATGGAGTACAGGTGCCGTTTGTTATGGTTCACGTTGCTAACACCAGAAGGGTTTCCCACTAACTGTGCAGCTTCAGAGAGATAAACAGAAAGGCCCGAGCAGATCACATTACAGATCACCTGCTAGAGACGGACCGACATGTGGCACTGTTATAATCAACACTCTGACACTCTGTTAAACTGGTAATACATGCAATTAATTTGTAATTTGCCGATCCGCCCTTTGTTTTGTGCTAAATTCCCCTTGGGTTTGCTCACTTTCCCTCAGCAATGCATCTTCTACTATACTCTAATATACAACCTTGTGATTGCATTCAACTCCCTGAATGACTTTTTCCCCTTCACTCAAAACAAACTGACATCTGTTGACATTGTCATTGCAAAATGTGGGTCTCATTTAACATGGATTTCTCCCTGTTTGTGATAATGTTTGGCACAAAATGGCATCTCTAGAAAGAAGCTCTTGCTCTTAGATTTTCAATCTTTTCTTGCTAAAATAAGCTCTGCTTGAAAATGTCTTTTTCATATTAACTTTGTTTAAGAGACAACGTGACCTTGAATAAAACAAAAGTAGCAACATGTACACACCATATCAGTGTGGATGTTCCCCTTCAAAACAGAATCAGGAAGCTTTGGACTAAATGCCTCAAACCTGGCACACAATCATGATGCTGCACTTTTGTGAACTCACAGAATCAGAGCTTGTTTACAAGGTGCACAATGACAGAGGAAAGAGAAATGCAACATCACAACCACCAGCTATCATTTTATAATAGTGAATGGCTTTGCATGAAAGACACATAGGAGCAGAGGGGGGGGGGGGAGAGACTGATATCCCATCATGCCACTGTGCCACCTCACCAGCTGGTCGGGAGCGGCCTGCCTCAGCACAATAGCACATTAAGTGTTTTGAGTAAAAGGAAGCTTTTTTTACTGATAAAGCAAACACGTGTAATTGTAAGGGGTTTAAACACTAAAGCCAGTACAAAGATCAGACTTGAGAGGGATGGAGTGAACGGCTCACTGTCCTTTCCTTAAAACCTGGCTGTCAGTGAAGCTCTCCTTTCATCGATTAACTGTCTCTCTGCAGGAGGCTTTGAGGAGGGGCTTTAGAAAACACACACACTGATTTGTCTCTCCCATCCTCTCTGCCTTTCTTAGCTCATCCAGTACAATAGATGATATCATCCCTCCTCATGCATGTGCTGGAGACAGATCCATATATATATATGGATCTGTCTCCAGCACATGATATATATGTGTGTGTGTGTGTGTGTACCTGTGCATAGGGCGTGATGCTTTTGCATGGAACAAAATGTGCATTTCAACTTTGTGGAAATCCTAGCGGTGATATGGCACTTAACTGACCGAAAATGTGTCCTGAAAAGCCGGTAGCAGCATCAAGGTGCCCCGGTATAACTGGTTCACCGTGCTCAGATGAAATGAGGCTGATCATTAATAGATACAGTGTGTGTATGTGTGTGCGTCCGTGTTGACCTGCAGGTGTTTGCTAGGCCCTTGGCGCTGACTGACAGGTGGCACCGGGTAATTAACAAAACACAACTACGCATTTACCCCGTTAATGGAGAATTAAAAGAACATTTAGTGACTTACCTCAGTGCCACACGGACTGTACTCTCGTCTTGCCCCGAAGTCATGATTCCTTGCACAGTAATCGATGGGGAAAAAAAACAAAAAAAATTGATTGGCGAGGAAAAAAGTGCGCACACCCAGGCGAGAGGACCGAGCAACGGAGCTGCTCACCTCGACTTCAGCGCCGCCATCTCAAAAACAAACCCAGAAATTATCTCAGCTGGTGTTTATAATTATAACCATGATATAGCTGTGGTGTGTCCGCATGTCACGTCTATGTGCGCTGCATCTCTGCGCAGTTCTGCCCGGATGCTTCAGCTTCGGCTCCAGCAGAAACACATGCAGACTGTGCTGCTGCTGTTGCTGCTAGGTGAGCCTCTGTCATACACACGTATAGAAAGTACACACACACATACACACACACGCACTCTCTCTGCTCCGGTTTACGCACCGCGCGGGGAGGGAGCCGCAATGCGTCAGCAAGCCACGCCCTCTCCGGGGAGAACGGCAGCGAGGTGACGTCATGACAACAAGGGTGTTATGCACATGTTCTGTAGAAAGTCAGAAATGCAAACTTATGCTTAAGGGTCAATAAATGTTCTACCTTTGATAGGATTTGGAGAGGCTTCTTATATTTTTTCGGAGGACGCCACAGCAACCTTTGTATAATTGTGCGATTGCATGTGATATGTGTATGCTTATTTTAATTGTATTATATGTTTATTTGCAGATATATTTCCTTTGAAACATGTCATGGGACTCGTTGAAGTACCTTACCCCGTAGGATGTCCTTGGATGTTCTTCTTTTGTGTTTATGATCCATGAAATAAGTGAACATTTTCAATAAAAAACAATGAAAAAAGTGAGAAATGCACTATTTTTTGTGAATATTTAAATAAATGATTGAGTGTTTTAGGTTGCTTTATGTTTAATTATCATGCAACTAACCTCAATGGATAATTAATTTGATTACACTATCAGGAACAAATATAAAAATACATTAAAAAACTTGGTGCATTTTTATCAAGTCAGGAATACACTTAAAGTCAGATCACAACTTATTTTATAATGTGTACTATTTTAATTTTCCTGCAACTATAAGTGATTTCTTTCATGGGGATTGTTCAACACAAAAATAATAATTTAGCTGTGAGTAAAAGTATACTGTTGTGCTTGACTGTAGTTCAGGGCAAAGGAGTCAAAATAATCTTATTTATATTACAGAATAAAATGGCCCTTCAAAATCACTGTACACAATATGGAGAGCTTTGTTAAAACATACTAATATTAGAACATAATGACTTCATGTATGAATATGACACAGGATAAAGTGTTCTGCAATATATGCTTGTTAAATACAAGACAAGTGAAATGAAATAATGGTCTGTTGTATAAATGTTGCTGCTGCACTTGTTACTCTTGAACCTTTAACGCCACCCTGTGGATATAAACCGTCATGACACTGTGAGGGCATTGGAGATCCATTAGGTCAGAGAAAATAAAAAGAGGTTATAAATTGAAAAAGTTGACATTAAACGTAAATTCAACAGCAAAGCTCATCCAACATTTTTCATGTTACCGTTTTTATTTTCAGCCCTAGTGTTCCTTTTGTAATCTATGGGGTACTGGCCTTTTAAACCAGGGGTGTCAAACTCAAATACACAGTGGGCCAAAATTAAATGGAGGGCCGGACTGGTTCAATGTTTATTGCAAAACTTATTGAAATGAACTTATTGCACATATTAAACCTGGAACTAACAAAGCTTAAATGATTGCCTATAAAAACAACATTAAACATTAAATAATCAGTTGCATTCATTTCTTATGGCTCTATCTGCAGCTTTTCCAGAGTCATTTCTTATGATTACATTTTTCCACAGGCCAACAACAGCTTCAAAAAAACTATTTCCCTCAAAGAAAAAACCAAACATGCATGTAAACTCAGTTTGCTGCTCTGTGATGCTAGTTCAAGCCAGATACTTGGCATCTCATCTGGGTGCAAGTTCATCAATGTTTGGGGTCAGGCTCTGAGCGGAGGAGACCCTCAGGATTGAGTGAAGGGTGTGCGTGCAATATACCGGCGGGCCAGATCTAATAGTAATTAGAAATGATCCTGCGGGCCGAAATTAAATCCACCAAGGGCCTGATTTGGCCCCCGGGCCTTGAGTTTGACACATGTGCTTTAAACCCTGCCTAATATTGCTTTCCAACACAGCTAAGACAGCAACTTTGACATTGTTGTTTGGACTTTGTGGACTCTCAAATGTACACACAATCATTTATAGAATATTTAATGACTACCTTAATGTAAACAATGCATCAAATAGTGAAGTGTTGCATCATATATCATTTCGGCCACATGGTTTCAAATTGCTTCAATGTGCTTGTTTATTTCCAAAGGTCACATTGATAAACAGGACATTCAATGTAACATTGTGATCATTTTAAATACAAAATGGAAATGACAAAGTACCAAAGTGAACACATCCAACACACCATTATGTTACATTGATCTATGGCCAATCTGAAGACACTCATTACCTGAGGATACACTAAGGTGTTCAAAAGGGCAGTGTGACATTTTCCTTTTAATTCTCACACAGGCTGGTTTTCAACAAGATGAACAATAATAGCGGCTGGATTACATCACTGCTGTCATATTGTTTACAAGTTTTAACAACGTTTATAACATGATGTTACACAATTACAACGGCAAAATATGTGAGAAGTATCGAAAAATACTTAGATTTTGGTGCTATTTCCAAGCATTCAATCATCAGAAAACTATCCCCATATGTTTGTAGATTATTATCAATAGTTACAATTAAAATTGTTCTTAAATAAAACATTAAAAAAGACACAAGAATTGTAATTTCTGCCTTGCTTTGCTTCAACAAAAAACAGAGAACTTTTAAAAGGAAATCTATAGATTCAACCATTTAAAATGCAAATAAGACATTAAAGAGTGCAAACGGGAAGTTGTGAATAAAGGTGCTTTGTATTAAGTTGTTCAGGGCTACTTGGTCACCGTTATCTGAGCTGTGAACACAAACACATCGAACATTACATTTGGTACAGACAGTATTTAAAGCTTGTGCGCACCTTGTTTCAGTACTTACAGTAATAAAGGCTATAGCACGGTCTGACCCCACCGCTCCGTACTGTGCCGGACTCGTTTCCGTTGGATTCTAGAAATATTTAAGATTTGAGCAACTTGTTCTAGCAATCTGACATTTAAAAAAAACATATTTATGATGAAATAAAAAATGAAAAAGACACCCTTTTTTAAAGTGCAATATGTCCCACTGCGCAAAGAATAGCAGCAAATCACGATCAACAATTCAGTTAATAAACAAAAGCACAGGTTAGAATGATAAACCCAGGTTAGTGACTTTAACAGGAATGTGTTTGGAAGAGTTCAGAATGTATGGCTAAGAAAATGTTAAATTAAGGCAAAAAGGATCCATATGTCCACGTCTGATATCTTCATGAATTTAAAGTAACATTACGGAAGCTAAACAAAACTAACATTCTTGCTGGAAGAAATGGATGAAGTATTTATATGAAATATTAAGAATATGAGGACACTTTATTTAAAGGTAGGGTAGGTAAGAATGGAGAAACCAGCTCGAGTGCGCTAGAATTTGAAAGTACGCAGCCGAAAAAAATCTGCCCCTTCCTTCAGACTTCCTTACAGAGCCCCTCCTCCAACACACACGAACGCGCACATGACCAATGAGGGCACGAGGTAAGTTTGTGCACAGATGGAAGGCTGACAGGCAGGTAGGCCATCCAGTTATTTTAGCTGGGCCGGCTCAGATGATTGGTCGTGCTTTTTACAGCGCCACGGCTTCCACAGATGACATATTTGTATATATTTATTGTCAAAGCATTTAATATATTCATTGCTATCGGGATGTTAAGAGCATTCCATGGAATATAACAAGTGTTTCTGAAGTGAATTACCTACCCCACCTTTAAGTACTACATTATTGTCAAAGTACTCATTACAAGTAAAATACCTAAATTCAAAATCACACTTGTACAGTATTGAGCAAATGCAATAAGTTATTTTCCACCACTGCTTGCTGGTATATGCATTTTGAAGTCAAGGAGTAGCGACTAGAGATAAATGATTGGACTGAAATCAAGCAAAGCGTTGGTAACAACATCTGGAAATAGAAAGGTCTGGATGCTAAAGAAGGAGAATGAGCATATCATGAATTAAAAACCAGGTCAATTGGCTTCTAAAAAAAAGAATAGACTTGTTTCTAACATACCTAAGTCCTTGAAATTCAGATGAGCAGTTTGTTAAAAAAAACTCCATAAAAAACCATAATCTGTTTGACATGTTTTATGGTACCATAACGTTCCTGTGAAATTCACATTAGCCCAGTTCAGATCTACCCCGCTCACCAAACACCTGGAAGGTCTTGCTCCAAAGTTCCTCTTTATGATGACACAGGGAATGATGGGAAACAAGAAGAAGAAGGAAAACGCAGATCCCAGGCTAGAAACACCGAAGAGAAGAGATGATGAGCGAGGGGGAAGTGTCCGATTCAGACTTGTTTTGCTCATTTGATCAGAGGTAACACGATCCCCTCTCCACCAGTTCACCCAAAGAGAAAGAGGACAGGCTCCCAGTCTACTCTAGATCTGACGCCTCGGTGTCAGAGTGGAGGAAGTTGCTGCCGTTTACCCGGGTGTACTGGACGTTGCTGCTGTCGGTGGGGGGGGCGGAGGCTCCACAGGAGCAGAGTGGACCGGTGAACAGGTGATCCACGTCCTCCAGCTGCATGCCCTTCGTCTCCGGGAGGCAGCCCTGCACGAAGAGGAGCCCCAGCACCACCAGCCCCGAGTACAGGAAGAACGCTCCTAAGGGAGACAGTCACATGACCACTGTCACTGATTCAGATGGACATTTTTAAATCAAATCTATTTGTGTATGCATGATGTAGTTCCGTCTAATCCAAAATACGTCTCAGGAAAGATGGGTTGACTCTTTACTTAAACAAAAGATATCAGTACAAACACATATTTTCAAAGGTCAAAAAACGATATTGCTCCGTGATTCTTTTCTCCTTCTCACTTCTAATAAGAAGCAGCTGCGGTCGTCTATGACGTCAATTTTACGACAATAACAAAGGATTACAATGTTCAAATATATCAAATTATACATTTTAAGATATGGCTCCTACACATATATGTTATACTGTTTGTTTGTAATACATTGTATTGAACTCCCAAGAATAATGTGAAATGACTTCATATTTTAAAAACTGCTGACAATGTGCGACCGTAAAACTTAAAAATGAAAATGAAAACTGGGGTTATGCATTTCTGTTCATATCAAGTCCCAACGTAATCTCATGTCAGATGAAAATGAAATAGAAATGCTGCCAAAGTTACCGATTGCAGTTTGAGCCCGTTTATGATGCCACGTTCATTTTCTCTGGGCAGGTCAAAATGTGAGTAGTGATTAAATGAATAGCTGTTAATGGACAATCATTTCCATCCTGTAGAATTCAATCAAAACTATTTTGTTGTTATACTCTGAAAAGTATACAGTTTGATTTAATCTCACGATGCTTAATCAAAAGCAAACTCGGATGTGTAATCAAAACCCACTTGTTAGTTAACCTCCACTCCCTCACCACTGCCCTGTTGCTGCAAACAAGAAGACGTGTAAAGTGACCGGTTATATAAAAGGAGGAATACAACTACATTTTTGGATCTGGCAGAAGCAGCAGACTGCCTGTGAAGTAGCAGGAAATACTTTTAATGACAACATGTACAAAAAAGAGATATACCAGATAACAGAGATTAAACTCAGTGTGTCTTCATGCTTTATCCATTCACAATTCATCCTCTCCGCCCTCCTGTTTTCAGCTGTTAATAGACGCCAACTCTTTTAGTTCAACTAACCAGATTTTGCCACAATGTCCATCAGACAACAAGAAACCAAGTACACCTATAAATTAGGGTCGATGCACAATCGTTCACATAGTTTAGCCATGGAGGCTCTTTTTCCTTTGCAGTCCCTTGCAGGTTAAGGATATTATTAAAGGTGCCTCCAACATCTCCACTTTCTGTTTCTTGCTTCCTTCCTCCCTAAATATCTAGAAGGAATCAGCTGTGAGCAACACAGACCAATCTATCGCTCAACTTTTACATTACATGTCACTTGTTAGACGCTTTTATCCAAAGCGACTTACATACTCAATACTGTGGGCAATCCCCACAGGAGCCATTTGGGGTGAAGTGTCTCAGGGACACAACGACATGCTGACTGCAGTGGGGTTTGAACCTGTGCCCCCCTGATCCCAACACCAACGCACTATTCCACTGCGCCACACGCCTCCCTGGACTTTTATTGGACACAACACATTCAGTTCAAATCGTTTCAACAGCAAAAAGAGTCCTATTTTTATCACAAACGCAGTATTTTATTTTTAAAAAGTCTCCCCTCGCATGTAGCGGGTCTTACCGTAGTAGGTGAGCATCTGAGCGATGTGGAGGAAGGTCAGAGACACCAGAGCGTTGCAGATCCAGTTGACTCCGGCTGAGCAGGCGTTCCCGGTGCTGCGCGCCCACATCGGGTAGATCTCAGAGTTTATGGTCCAAGGCATGGGGCCCATACCTGACACAGAGGCAACGCATTATGTTTAGAAATGTTTATATGAACATAACAAAAAACCACTAACAATGTGCACAATGTTCTACAATATAGAAGCCATGTTTAGGGTTGTAAACATGCTGCATAAAGGATTTTTCTACAAGAACTACAGCAGGTTGTAGTAAGATCAAATCTGTCACTCAAAACAAGACTATAAGATGTGAGACGAAAAACAATGATGAAGTCTCTTCAGACCTGGAGCAAAGAAAGCCAGGTAGAGGATGAGGCCCAGCAGGACGATCCAAGAGTAAGGGGTTGGACAGTAGTTGTACGCCCAGAGCGAACTGTCGGGTAACTCCTGTCCTGTCTGGTTGTAACAACTGGATGAAAGAAGGACGGAAACAAGAGAAATGTTGCTGTTTCCATGTGGATAATCCAGCAGAAGAGACCACGGCTGCAGGCGATTCTATGTGCTTTATTTTGAAAACACCAAAGCACCAAGAGGATCTTACTACTTGCTAAAAGAGGATTAGTACTTGCCTTTGCTTTTAATAACGGCTATTTGTATGCTATTACATGTGAAAAGCAATGTAAATGCAAAGCAGACCACATGTGGTTTCACTTTAGGCATATGTGATGACAATGATTACATTACATTTTAATATTAGCTGACGCTTTTATCCTAAGCAACTTACATAAGCTCAATCGTACGTAAAGAGACACACTAAAACAGCATTTATCCTGCACGTACATTAGCATTCATTAAGCCAGATGATATGAGTTGCTATACATCGAAATTGGCCATTTTGTATTGGCCAAGGTGCGGTCAAAACAAAGGTTGTAATGAGAGCTGTTAAGTGTTTGTACTTTGACACTCATTTCTGCATCCCAACTATTTGTCATACACAGTAAGCACAGTAAGCCGATGCCTGACCTTCCCCACGCAGCGTGATCTGTGGACGCCGCGCTGACAGGAACACAGGAGGAGTCGTACACAGCGGTGCCGTTTTCACGATAACAGAATCCACAATCTGGATCCAACATGCAGGATTCACAGGACCTGGAAGATAAAAGCTGAATGTAAAACGTCTCACATCAACCCATTTCAACATCGTGACACTTTTGAGTGAGCAACAGACAAGCACAGGTGCAGCTCTGTCAGCAAATGATCAAGGTTGTAAGATGCAGGAAGAGCAATAAGAAGGGTGAAATGATTGCACCAGTGAACACGGATACACCTCAAGGAGTCAAATATGCTAGACGTAACGGCACTTTGGATAGTCCAATATTTGTTTAATTGACACAGGACTCATGCAGAGATGGAAACTCCCACTGGAAATGTTGGGATCTAGAAAAAGACAAAAGACACTATGTACTATCACTATGATGTTTAGTATACTGATAGTATACTGGAAACAAGATTGGGATTGAACACTAGTATCTCACATGTATTGTTGATAATGAAAGTTAGGTGTGTTGTCTCACCCATAAAGTGTGCATGTTAAGTTTTGGGGGTCGACCGGGTGAAGGGTGATGGGCGGAGAATACTGAGCAGACATTAAAAAGCCAAAGGCCAACACAGTCAGACTCAGACCGGTACCTGCATCCGAGAAAAATAAAAACAAGAAATAATGTTGTCTGTAGAAACGATCAAATAATTAAATTCTGCAAGACTTCCCGGGACAAATCACAAACCTAGAAGACTGCCCAGCGTCAGCTTCCTGCGGCCCACCCTCTCCACCAGCCACACTCCTAACATGGTGAACACAAAGTTTGTGGCAGAAGTTGCAGAAGACAACCAGATCGCCCGCTTAATGTCCCGCACCCCCGCCATCTGCAGAATAGTTGCACTGTAGTACCTGGATATGGGAGGGGACATTCAAGAAAAGCCAGATCTATTAACATTTCGACCCGAATCCAACTGAACACTTTTTTTTCTGTTCCCACTGAGACACAGATTTATCAATTGAGCTCTTAATAAAGCGGGAAAAAACTAGCTGCCTTATCAACACTTGTATATGTTTTTTTTGTAATGCTGCTACTTATTTTATATCATGGATGTGTACTTATTTGATTTTGTAACTATTATTGGTGTGTTAGCCTTTTATTTGATATGTTAGTCTACTCATTTTATTTGCACTTCACCTTTGTTGTTGGAACAATACATTTGAAAAACAGGAATCTTGAATTGGTCCCACAATGGAAAAACGTACAGCCTTACAAGAGGCAAAGGTACAGTGCAGATACAATTCAAATACAAAAGATACTGAAAAATTAACAATCATAAAAGAGGCGAGCACACGTTAATATAATACAAATCAAAGAAGTTCCAACCATGGTAAGAAAAAGGAAGCAGCAGGATTTCTGATTCAGGATGCTACCAGGCAGGGAGAAGATAATTCATAATCATACAGTCGCTATTACAAGAGGAACAGACGACCTACATGACGGTGTTTACTCCCGACAGCTGCTGAAACATCTGGAGGCCGCAGCCGACGAAGAGAGCCCGTCGAGTCGGACCGTATTTAAGCATTCGCAAAATAACAATCCCTCCTGTAAGGACACAAAGTCTCTGATAAACATTAAAGTGTCAAGTCATGTCATTCCTTTTTGTGTTCATGTCACTCTGTACACAAGTAGACAAAACTCGCAGCTTTAATCTTTTTTTTCAGGTTTCGCAAAAATCATTCACCTCCGCCCGACTCCTTCTCCTCGTCCTCGATGCTGCTCCTGATGGAGTCGTACTCCTCGTCGACGTTCTGGCCTCCTCGGATGCGGCTCAGAGCGTGCCGGGCCTCTTGGCTCCGCCCCTTTTGGAGGAGCCAGCGGGGGCTCTCCGGCAGGAAGAGGAAGCCGCAAAACTGCAGCACTGCTGGGACAATGGACAGACCTAGCATGTACCTGTGAGATGGAGAGGAGGAGGTGGAGGTGAAGAAATGCTGGAGGAAGCAGGCCTGTGCTGTAACACCAAACACTGAGTTTCAGCTTTATGCCTTATATTCTGATATTAAATAACAAACACTTCACCTGTGGATCTGATACCGTCATGACATTTAAATTACAGATGTTGGAGGCTACAAAAAAACATGGTGAGATCTTTGTAACACTCGTGCTTCTATTGGCTTGCACTCCAACACATTGTACATGATAGGCTACAGGGCAGGACATCTCTAAGCGGTTGAGCAATCACAACCAGCTAACCAATCAGAGCAGACTGGGCTCTGGTTTCAGACAGAGGGTGAAAAGTAAAGAGCTTTTTGAATGTCAAACTACAGTGAACGACTGTTGTGGAAATTTACCGGCAGAGAAACGTACCTCCAGCCGTCGTGACTCATGTAGCTGAACACTCCATCGATCACCGTGGCGATGAACTGTCCGCCGGTGATGAAGAGGTTGTTGATGGTGACCAGCTGACCTCTCAGGTGAGGGGGGGAAACCTCAGCGATGTATACAGGAACTGTCATAGAGGCAATGCCTGATGGGAGAACCAGAAAGGGTTTTATTTTGATACACACACACAAACATTTCCCAAAACATTAATTCAATTAATTTGTTGGTGATGTAAATCTTGGGACATTAAGTTCTACTTTTCCATTTAGTCCGGTTCTTCTTTCAGGCAAATACAATCCAATAGTAGTAATGGACAAATAAATAAAACTAGAATCACCACGTTGCACTTTAGAGCTTCTCTAGCTGTAGTTACTTTGCAGATTTAGTCAACTCAATATGTTTTGCACTGTAGTATTTCTGATTTGACTTAGTAGTGGAAAAGGGATTTGGACATTTTACCCGTCTGTGGCTATTTGGGGTGGGAAAGTGTGTAACGGTGTCAATTACCTGGATGAATAAGGTGTTAATGTATCAAAATGACATGCTTTCACCAACGCACCTATGCCCAAACCAACTATGACTCTCCCCACTAGAAGAACCACCTTGTCGGGGGCTAAACTCAGGGTGATGCCTCCAATGGTGAAGATGAAACTGGCCAACAGGATGCAAACCCTGCGGCCCAGCCAGCCGTTCAAGGAGCCTCCCGCCAGGGCGGAGAAGGCTGCGGCCCAAACAGTGCTGGACACCAGCAGCTCCTGCCACAGAGCGCTCAGGTTCATCTCCTTCTTCAGGAGCAGCATGGCCCCGGAGACCACCCCGGTGTCGTACCCGAAGAGAAACCCCCCCAGGCCAGAGAACAGCGCCAACATATAGACGAAGCATGGCTTGGAGGCGTTTTGGTCCAGGAGATCCCCACCAGTGGAGGATGGAGGCCCGATGAGGCTCTGTTCTCCATCATCCCCTGCTTTCTGTCTGCTTCTCCCCATATGGCCGCTCATGTACTTCAGGCTGTATTCATCCTGGCTGCGGCTGCTGGTGGTGGACATAAGGTTAAAGTTAGTTTATTTATAAAGCACATTTCAGACACAAAGGCAATTCAAAGTGCTTTACATAGGCAATAACACATAACAATTAAAACAAAGTCAATTTAACAGAAAGACAATTCATAAAAGAGATAGAAATGTGTTAAAAAGAGACATTGTAAATACACATAATTGCTGCAAGAAGTGCAATGTTAAAACATAGTTAAATGACCTCTGGAAAAGCAGCATTAAAGAGCAAGGTTTTCAGCCCTCAGATTCTCATGAAGTAGAGGAACGTAGAGGAAACAAGGAGGTCATTTGCCAGCAAATGAAAAACTCCCTCAACACAGAGGAGGGTTGAGAAGAAGTTGCCCCAAACAAAAGAAGGTAGTAAGGCTGCATTTTTCGGAATAGCAGACGTCCAGGAACAGGAAGCAGCCAAAACGTCGAGATTTAAACAGCTATATCTGCTCAATACATATCGTTTCCTTACAAACCATTGTTTTTGAATGTGCATACGGGTATATTATACAGCAACGCTGATGAACGGTTAACTTTAATGACTCCAAAATGACTAAAAACTATTTTTTAATCACCGAAAGCGCTAAAGCGCTGCAACGGGAGCCGCCATTTTTAATGTTTACACTGACGTCACATGGGGTGAGTCACCTGATCTGACCCGCAGCAAAAAGAGGCAGAAATTAAACGTTTTCTAACTATTTGTAATTTAAAAAATCCAACAATTAGGTGTATTCATAAATAAAAGGAGTCTTGCACATTCCGAAATATTTTAATTATTTAAGAAAACGTTTTTTTAGCAACCAATTTAGTTTCTATGTATTTTAGACACTTCCTTTAAACTGCTGCACCAAACCCCCTTACTAAAATGATATATTATTTTTGTAAATCGTAGCTTATCGGTAATTATGTTAAAACAGATATTCAGATAGTTTTCTATGTCCTTGGTAACTAGTGTCAACAATGTATATCCGTCTAAAACATTTTTTTAAATGTCTATCGAAACTACAAATCACGTAAAAAATTACTTCAAAAATCTATATATTCACACCGTGAATATACCAACATGATTAGTAATTGACCTAGCTGCTTACATGAATCATACATATAGGTATTTCCAGTTGGTGTCATTTTGGGCGTGGTGAGAATATGTCAAAAGCCAATTGTAGTTTCTGAGAATGCGTTGGAGTGGTATGTAGCCTATTGATTTATTAATAGAGACTCAAAGTGCAATAAACCACAGGCTGAGCTTAAAAGTTCAAATCCACAGCATGTCACACAAATTCAATTCACACAGGCTAGATTTACAAGCTGGCGCATAACATATCACTTAAGACAAGGTAAATTATTACACGCCAACATCACACAAAACAACCAGCTGAACACATGTTATCTGTGCAAAATAAACCCAACTTTACCTGTAAAAAGCTTATTCTGGTGCAGTGCATTTGGCGTCCTCTTCAACAATAGGGAAGTTTGGCTGATCATATGATCATGTCGCAAAGGTAACCGCCCATTTACATTGTAATGAACCAAGACTAGCCTCCGGTGATCCTCACATAGCACACAGCTGTATACTTCCAGCCTTGTCAAACATCAGGAATTTGCATTGATCGGAATATATCAGGGAAATAAAGAGTGAACAAAGTGTCCCATCCTATTTTCATGCCAGTTGTTTCTTATTCGCCTTAAAAACTAAATGATAATGAATGGTGGATGATTTAGCATATAGCATAGTTTTCATTTTATATTGTTTAAAGATCATCTGGACTATTTGTCTTTTTATTTAGATACTTTATAAGATGCAAATAAGAGATATTTTGTTTGCATTTTTTACCCCAAAATAGGATATTGCAATTTTCCATTTAACATTGACATGGGTTTAAATATTTAGACATTGTAAAAATACAATTCCTCAATCCATATCTTTCACAATTTGGTAATTGGTTTATTTTCAATTCTTACACAAATTAAGTATACATCTGACTCAGTTTGACACGTGGTAATATTAGTATTGTAAAAAAAAAACTACCTTCCATGCTGTGTACCGTAAATACAGTAATAGATGCGCAGATAAACCCCAAGTTGATGGTGGCGGCAGAAGAACAGACATAATCATTAAATAAATCAGAGTTTATTTATGCCGAATTTAAACATACCTTAAAATAAGTAATTCCACTTTTTTAAATGTTCTGTACCAGCTAAGTATCCTTGCCTATTTAGAATCAAACATTACAAATTTGATTTTTTTTAATGGAATACGGCGTGAATCAGTGCTGCTCGCCTCTGCTTTTTAAATCGGTAAATCAGTGACTGACGTCAGACATCGGGCCGGGGCGGGAGTGAAGCTGTCAAATTACAGTCAATTACATTTGATTTAAAAACAATTTGCTGGTATTATATTATCAACGTAAAAACTTTACCGACAGAAAAACGTCCATTGAGTTACAGTCAAACGAATTTCTGATACCATTATGGATTTATAAAGAGAAATGGACACAGCGTTCATTCCTATGAGAGTTGCTCAGTGGCGCATGAAGCCCAAAACAGAGCGACTGCAGATTCAAATAGTACCCGTATGTGGGCCCACAGAGCATGCGCAGTTGAGTTGGAGAAAAATAACTTGATTCAGCTTTTAGCGCATTTTACAACTTTAAAACCCTGATTATTTAAATAAGGGCTATACAAGTGTTGATGCTGGGTAGTTTATTTAGCTAAAAAATAATATATAGGCTACGCTGATTTACAGACTTCTCTTTCCCAATGTAAGTCGATGGGAAAACGAAAATAACGTCACGGAAGCTGTAGTACCACCATTTGGCCACTACGGCCATTCATAAAAATCAGCTTCAACTGCCGGCGCACTTCCTGTAGGCTCGGATACCGACCCCACTGTTTACTTCCAGTTTCCTCTTTACAACGGGAAGTTTTTTCCGGCCCGCAGACCGCAGTCATATGATGTGACCATAAGGAAGGAGGAACACGGCTGCCGGAGAGGAACTGCTGGTTTTTCCCGCAGAAAACCACAGAAAGTAAAAAACTCCGACAAAAGAGGAACATGTTTCACTGCCAGAAGAAAGTTTGCATAGGACGGTGATGTCAGGATCGAAACTCATTCACACTTCGATAGACAGCTTCTCTATTTGTGACTGCTACTCAGCCGAATTGTAGCTAGTGTAATATGATGTAATATAGCTATTATTTAGCAATGTGATTTATTTTTTTGAGTCACTTTTACTCGTTTTTTCTCACGCAATGCCGCAGCAATGCTCAAATATAAGCTGTTCTGAGGGATTCACCTAAATGCAAACTTGTCAGCTGGAAAAGTGTTTTTTAAAGACCATGGTTAACCAGGAGGAGTTGGAAGAAAGGTTGAAGAAACTTGTGGTGAGGCTGAAAATCCCACAAGAAGACAGACAAGTGTGCACGCTGATTCAGATCATCCAGGATCTGCTTTTCCTGGCGCACACCGACAATGGTAGGAAACTCTCTCTTCCTGCATGTGTGCATCATGCTGCTGCTCATACACATACATGGTTTCCTCTGGACATGTTGTTGGACTTGTTTCAGCTTTTGGTACAACACGTACTCCTTTACTGAAGTGTTACTAATATAAATTAACTCAGATCTTGTACTCGAGTAAAAGTAGAAGTACCACAGTGTAGGAATACTCTGTTATAAGTAAAAGTCCTGCAATCAAAAGGTTACTCAAGTAGAAAAGTATTAGTTTCAAAGAATACTTAAAGTACCAAAAATAGTCATCGTGCAGATTGGTCCATTCCAGAATAATATATATGATATGTTTTATGATTATTGATCATTAAAGTGTTCTCAAAGCTGGTAAAGGTGCAGCTAGTTTGTGAATGTACTCAAGGTGTAACTAAAGTCTGATTTAAGAGTTGATTATATTTCATATCATTAAACCACATCTGCTAAGTAAAGGTATAAAACACATTTTGTGGAGTAAAAGTACACGATCAACCTCTGAGTTGTAGATGAGTAGAAATACAACACATTACAATACTCAGTTAAAGTACTAGTATCTCCAAAATGTACTTTTGTAGTGTACTTGAGTAAATCTACTAAGTTACTCTACACCACTGCATGTATGCTGCTGATCATAAAAGCCATGGTTTTCTTTGTTCATGTTGTTGGACTTGTTTCAGTCTCTGGTACAACACGTTCTCAGATCCTTTACTGAAGTGTTACTAATATAAATAACAAAGACTTTATATGACACACCAATACAAGGTCCATAGCGAGAAATAGTGATACCACAGTGTAAAATACTCCATAGCTACAGTAAGTATTGCAGTTTAATTTAGGCTAAAATCAGCATAATATAGTTATACTTAAAATATAAAAAATACTCAGTATGTAGAAAATTGCTGTCATTCTGGCGTTTTGATTATTATGTATAGTGCATTAACATAATAGCATTATTTTAATACTGCAGTCTGTGTCGCTCTTTTTATAATCAAAAATTAATTTAAACCTTTTCTAGACGTGCACAATGACAACAAGATAACCATAATAAATGTTGTATGTTGATCATACGTTTTCTTTGTAAAAGGAGAATAAAGTACCGTTCAGTATGTTCTTGTTAAAGCTGATGCACAAAATGGAAAGACTTATGCACAACACTTGTTCTTTGTTATTGTAGTATCCACCACACTGCTTTAGAGTGACTTTGTGTTGTCTGAACAGTTCTTCGTATCAGTCTCGGTTCCTTATGCATATTTATCGTACTTGTATTTTTTTCCATGTCCTATAATCTTATTCTACGGTACTTTTACTGCTCTACATTTAACCCATATTTACAGTAGCTAGTGTGCAGATAAAGATAAGACCCATACTCTAGGGACATGGATGAATTGCTGTATTTCATGGTTTAATCCAACTGAGCAACTTCTGTTTTTAATCGTAAGATAGTACACAAATGTATCATCATGCATATTTTACAGTTCACTGTTCTGATAATATTGATGTGTATTTGAAGGTCTGTATTTGAATACCGAACGTCTGATCGATCCTCCTTATTGGTAGACTATTCTCCAAGACTTGTGATATGCATTAAAACGTGTAATGTATATATCATAAGGCGTGTGAAGGACTGTCCCGTTATTCAAAGCTAACTCATCACATCATTTCTTCCCATCTGTTGCAGCAGCTGAACTGTTTGAAGGGAAAAGCGTCCATGCCCCCCTCATGCTGGTGCTCTCATCCTACAGCAGCAGCAAGGGGGTCCAGCAGGTACCACACACCTCACACAACTCTGATTGTGTGCTTTACTTTCCCTTTTGCATCAGATGTGTGTTATCAAGCCATCTTGGACTTAAACAGATAACACACACACACTTCAAACTGTGTCTTTAAAGCCAGATTTAAAAGGCCAAAATGAAACACAATAGTATTCTATCTTAAACGAGACACACATATGTACAGTTAGTACAACAGCATCACCTGCTTACC